GACGTTCCGTTCCGGCAGTGGCTTGGCTCACTTGGCCAAAGCCGACCTTTCGGCCATATGGTTGTCCCAGTTAGGTCCACTTTTTGTCAGGCTCCCAACAGGTTAACCTTTCGTGCCATGTCGGCAACCAGGCGAAGACCAAGATGCGGGCGGAGCGCGCCAAGAGGGCCTGCGCTCCGCTGGAAGACGTCGGCTCCTTCGACCTTTTTGGGCCTTTGGCGGAGGAGGCACAGAGCGCCCCGAAGGCCAAGATGCCGCGCAGGTGACCAAAACATCCGGCGGCGCCCGTGCGCGCGGAGTCTTTGCGGACGTGTGAGGAATGGGGATGGGGTTGGGGCAAGGGGGGGGATAGAGATGCAGTTTCTCACACGATGGCTGTGTGATAGGCTAAGGAACTGGCTGTATTACCCAACTTGTGGTGTTGCTCTTCTCCGGTAGCCCCCTTAAGGTTGGATATATGGAAGTGTGGACCTTTACCCCCGAGCCGCCTTTAGTGGGGATTGTGGCTTTGGTGTGCCCTGGCCCTCGATCTCCAAGCATCCCAAGCTGTCGCTAGGCCCTGTTCAGGTTTTGGGAAAAAGGATGGTCCTGGTGTACCTGGTGGTTTAATCAGACATGGAGGAGCCCGCGATTGCGGCTTCGGTTGCTGTCTCGGCGCGTTTTACTTCTCAGGTGGCCTCCTTCCAGCAGCTGGGTGTCGATGCCTTCAAGCACGATGACGCGCCTCGCTTCGATTTTTTTTTTTTTTTTGGGGGGGGGGGCGACGGTTTTTGGAAAACTAGCGATTTCCAAGTGGAAGGGTGGATTGGCCTCCCTGTGGTTTCGCTTCGCCGCTTTCTAGGTGCGCACGCCGCTTAAGATACAAGAGGGGGGCAGCCAGCCTTTAGCAACTCGACGACCGATTTCCACCAGCATGGTCGTGGACGATTGTTGATTTTAGGTTGCCACTTTCGGTGGGCATTTCCACTTTCTTTTTTCTTATTTATTTTTCTTAAACCAGCGTCAAGATCAAATGTTTGCCATTTGAACGTGATGTTCCTTTCAATGGGGGGGGTGTATGAAGAGGACATACAGGGTTTGGCAGGCGGGTTTGTTTCCAGCAGACACGCTAGCGCAAACGGGCGCAAATGCGCACACTCTCCCTTTCAGATCAAGATGCTGCGCGACGATGCATCGCAGCGTGCTTTCGGTGTGCCGGAGGACTTGTGGGCGGGGGGGGGGAGGGGTCTACAAATGGCGAATGCATTGGGAGGTGTTGCCCCCAAAGTGAAGGCTCCGAAAATGGGCAGCCAGAGGTTTATCAACCCTGGGTTTCCTTCTTTAGGTAGGAAGGCAGGCTGACCATCAAGGCATCTCCCTTTGTGTGCCTCCTGTTGGGCCGCGCCTGTGGACGGCATTGTTTTGCGGATTGGGAAGTTCTTTGACCGCATGGATGTCCATATGCCCCGCTCTTGACCTGCTTGCCAATGGCCTGTGGGCCGTCGTGGTTTGGGTCAACAGCCACCTTCGTTTTGCAAGAGGATTCTAGTGGTTGGTCCAAAAAGCCATCATCCACTCTTGGCCGCTCTTGGCTGCCCTGTGGAACCTTCAACCTTTTCCCTTGTTGAGATAAAACAGTACAGGCGGTTTGGGAAAATACCAGCAGGCACAACCTTACCTTGATTTTCGCGGTTGGTACCAGCCATGCGCTCGAGCATTGAAGTGGGAAGCTAAGGGTCATCTCATTTGGGAGGTTTACAGGTTTGCCGCCTCCTGGCGTGAATGGGGAGCTGAGGGGCCTGAATTCTAAGGACACCCTGCCCAATCGCCAAAGCGAACCCTTCTTCGTGCATATTTCTGTGAGAACGGCGTGACCCATGGTGTAGGATTGCCTTGACTGCTATTGGGTTGGATCTTTAGACTTCAACTTTTTGGGAAATAAAAGTGTTTTTCCACTGAATCCACAAAAAGCTAAACTTTTTGCAGGGGGGCAACAGCAACCAAGACTCATTCGATGAATTCTCAGCTCTGCATCCGTCAGCTCTTTCGCCGCAGGAGTACTCCACCGGCCACGCCTTCCACACCTACAGCCTCACCAGCGGCGATGGCTCGGTTCAGCCGGGGGCCCGGCCAGTTTTCTTGGTTTTTTTCCTCTCCCCCAACCCGACACTCGACCTACAAGTGAAGAGTTGTCCGGGTGTTTCAGGGACACCTGCAGCTGGCCGATTTCGGAGAAAGGGGAGCAAAGGGCTGGTCTTGCCGACGCATCTCTTCAATAAAAGGGCCACACGCATTGCGGCAAGTGCGCAGGCACATCATTGGACGGGACCGTGGTTAGCTTGACAAGCAATCTGGTAGCAATCTCAAGCTACACCTGAAGGCCCCAGGCCCTCGAGCCCTTAGGCCCCGCCCAGGAATCCCCGATCCTTCCAGATAAAATCTAAGAAACCTGTGAGCAAGTTTGGTGCCAGATTTTGCAAAAGGAAAGCTATTGCGTAAACAACCTCCTTTGATTTCCCTAGAAAGGGGGGGTCAAGGGTTCTTTCAGCAGAGCCTCGCAGGTTTCAGTTCCAGCACAACGTCTGCGGGCGCCGAACCTATGGCGAGGGCGTGGCGGACGCGGTGCAGTTCATTGCGGACAAGGTCAAAGAGAAGTCCGAGAAGAAGGCGGGCGAAAGCCGAAAGGGCGAAAGCCAAGGGTTTGCCAGGTTCCCAAGTTTCCGTACCCCCGGAGAGATGTATAAACGTGTTCACACACAACACACACACACATATATATATATATAGATATATACACATACACGCTTTGTACATAGATAAGCACACACACACACACACATATGTATATCCACATAGATACATACACACACATGAGATACACAGACATATGTATATATACACACACGCTTTGTACACACATATTTACATATGTCACAGGTACTGGGAATATGCATCTTTGTACATGTGTGCACCTTCTCGGGGGGATCGTGCAGAGTCTGCATTCAGGAATTACAGCTTACAGCTTACACGATTTGAGGGGAACGGCGAGGGGCCTCGCAGGTATGAATTCGTGCAAATTCATGGGGTGCCCTTTCGAGTGGCACACAGTGCCCTCTTAATTATGGCTAGTGTTTGGCAGGACGATGCTGGATCTTTCACCTTCAACTTTCATGGGACACGTGTATTTGTCTGCGACAAGCGTTAAACGGCGTGGGCGGGGGCAATATCCACCAAGCGACTCTGCAAATTGTTATGACTTGAAGGCAGCTGGCACAACTGGTGCTGGAGCATGCGTGCAACGGGTTGCTTGAAAGGGCTACATCTGACCGGCGTCCTCTCACCATGCAAGGCTGTGTCGGAGCCTAAAACGGTTCCAAAGGGCCGCTTTGCCCCAAGGGGTTAAAACCCAAGAGAGGAGCATGCGCTCCACACCCCCTTTGTTTTTTTTAGGCTTTCGTTGCGCGGCAAATGCAGAGGGTAACCTTGTTCGGACCGTGAAGCCCTCAGGTCTTCAACATGATTGACATCCTTGAGGCGCGTTAGTGAGGGATCACAGGAACAGAACACATAGGGTTTTGGTCGCCACAGCAATCACCGGCAACATGCTTATTGGGGTCTTGCCCCAGTTTACTGCTTAGGAAACTTAAATGCAAAGCACCTGACCGCAGGGCCATTGTGTTGCTCCTTGTGCCTTCCGCGCTTTTCTCCGACAGTGTGGACCGTTTTGGACTGGCCGCGCAGATGACAAAATAGGAACACGTTAGTAAGGTAAAGCTAAGTTTGGCACACCAAGTGACATGGAACCTGAAGAGGTTTCGGGAAGCAATGTTCCTTTAAATGGGCCCTTAGAGGGGTTTCTATGTGGGAGGCAGCCTTTGCTTTTTTGGCCCAGCTGGTGGCATGTTCGTCCTGCCACGGAAGGCCGGGGAGATGAAGTGAGCGCAGTTGGCCTCTGATCGGTTGCGAGGCTTCCGTTGCCATCCGACCATCCACCTCTTGAAGGGAAACCGGAGGTTTCCATCTGTGGATGGACGAAATCCGTTCGCGCCGATTGAAGGTATGGGAAATTATTGGCATTTGTACCGCGAATCATCGTGCCCGGGGGTTTCTTATGTGGTGCGAGATGGATTTCGTCCATGGTAGGAGTCCGAAGGCGCAGACACCGATTCGGCGCGCGCTGGGCCTTAGCTCAGCGCCGCCTTAGCTCAGCGCAGGGCTGAGACAGCGCCACATACTCGACACAAAAAGCGCCCACAAGCGCATGCGAATGCGCGGGGTCTGGGGTGTAGCCCGCAGGTGACGGCAGAACGTGAAGCGAGTAGCCACATGTTTCTGTCTCAAGCTGTTTTGTTTGCGTTTGGTCTATGCAGCGCTTTTGACCCTTTGAGGCAGGCGTTGCTATTCCTAAGTGGGATGAGGAAGCGTGGTAGGAGTTATAGAAAGCAATGCAAAGCATTGTAGACCCCCTAGTGATTTGCTGCAAGTGAGCCAACCACAAATGACGCAGGACTTCAGGAACATGTTGGTCCCCTAAATGTCGACGACGCCATCACTGAGCTCACGAGCCACATTGTAGCAACTGCATTCGGTTTCCTAGCAAACAGGCTGCTTACCGCCATTGCCTTCTGCGTTGCAAGCTATGGCCTTGACCCTTTGAGATGAACCGCGACCAAGGGTCAAACCCCCCCCCGGTTACCAAGCTGAAGCCTGCTTGGGATTTGTTCTTCCCCCTGAATAGGTTATGTCACGTAGATTCAAGCAGAATTAGGGGGACTGTTTGTCAGGGTCATTCAGCCCTGGTGCTTCCAAACGCGAAATCCTCAAACGGGGTCGTTGACCAGGGCACCTTACAAGACACAATTTCGCGGCTTAAACGGAAGTCATCCTCCAGGGAGAACATTCAGGTGGATCGCCACCTCCTGGTTTCCTTCATTTTGGGGCCCAGGATTTGGGGGTGTCAAATTTTGCCCAAGCTTGGCAGATGCCGCACTTGCCAAGTGGGGCGGCCGGCTGTGACCCAGGCGCGGAGCAGAGAGGCGCACGCCCCTTCGGTCTGAGGGCCTGAGAGGGGCGGGCCTGAGAGGGGGCGGGCCGATTTGTGGCATAGGGGGAGGTGAACGGGCTGAGTGGGGGGGGGGGTTCTATGTGAAGGGTCCTTTTGTTCTGGGAGCTCTGCGTTCAGGCAGAGTTGTCACGCAGTTTGTGAATAGGACAATCAGCTTGCAAATGACGAGAATGCAATTGGACCGAGCCGCGAGTGCCGCTTTCGCGGCCGAGGTCCTCTTCTCAAGGTACTTCTCCATCCTGACCGGCTCCGAGCAGGCTCGGGCCACCCGTGTAGTGCCCAGCCAAAGTCCTTGGAAGGCCATATGGCCATGCGCAGTTGGATGGCGTCACATGGCAGCTGCACCCAGAATGAGGCTAGTAGCAGCTAGAACGGCAAGTTTGCGTTCTCCGAATCTGGATTTGGCAAAAGCCTGATGGTCTCTCATTCTGACGTGAAATTGTGTGAAAGGAGAGGCAGGAATGTGAATGGTTCGTCCATCGAACGAGCTCAGCCTGTTTCCTATGTGGGCCGCTTTCTCGCCATTCCAGGCTCGGACCCTCACCCAGGAGGCTGGGGGCTTGCGCGGGCGATTGTCGAAGGCTGAACATCACGCAGAGGTGCACACTCTCATTTGTTTGTCAAAAGCAGGTTTGATGTTCCCCATGGCAAGTCCCGGGGTTTGGTTTCCCATCGGTGTGCATGGCACATGCGGGAGTAGTTCTTGGGAGAGCTTGCGAGAGATGGGCCGAGGTTTCCATCGGCAACTTTTGTCAGCAGCTTTTGGCATGTTTGCGATCCGCTGGGGAAGGCGGATCTGGTGCGGCGCGGCACGCGACTTGTTGTTTTCCGGGTCCGGGCTTGCTTCGCTGGGGCTAAGCTGCTGGGCTTGGGTTGGACCTTTGCCCGTACTGCAACAGCCATGAAACTTGTGCAGATGGTAAGCTCATTTTTGCGTCAAAGTCAACACGAGCCAAAGAAAGGGGGAGGGTGGCCATGTTGTGGCCTCCCTATTTTAGAAATAGACACACCATGGCCATCTGCTTCGATGGCACGCTGGCTCATAGCGAGTTGTTTGCTCAGTGTCTTCCTCTTTGAGGCGGGGGTGGCTTTGGTGAGTCGGACAGGCGGAGAGGCCGCTGGGAGTGGGCAGGTGTGGGCACTTTTCTGTCCTTATTGCTTTTGTGATAAGCAGCTGCGCCGGAGCGCGTGCATGCGCTCCCTCCCCGGAAGGTTCCATTTCATGATGGCAGTGCTCCTGCTGTCCCTGCTGAACTTTGTGGCAGGGGCAGTGAATCATGAGTCCGCTGTCACGGCCGATGGCCGCCCGGCTGCACCGGGCATGGGCCAGATGCCCGAGGGTGAGTTTGGAGAGTTTCAGTTGCAGGGGCCAGTAAGCTTCTCATGTATACTGCGCACCTCGCAACCTCCACCTCACACCTGGCGCCCCGCACCTCCCTACAATGCTCTGCAATACGCCTTTGAGGGTTTTGTCAAAATGGCGGACCCGACCGCAATGTGGGCGTGCGGTTGGCCAACCGAGGCTCAAGTCACAGCCTCGCTCGGGGGATGACAACAGCCACATAACAACCACCTGAAGCTTCAAAGGTTTCTTTTCTCTGGCAGGTTCTGGTCCCTCACGCGGTAGGTGTCTCGGGACCAATTTCTTGCTTCGGAGATGAATGATGCCAAGCTTATGGCTTTCTTCAAAGGTTTGCAATTTATGAGTGCAGTGCACTTGGTTCTGTTGGCCTCTTCAGAGCGAAGACCAAACATCCATCCAATCTCCCCCTGAAATAGCCTTTTGAAAGGAGCAAGTCTGTGCCACATGTTCCTTCCCATTGGGTAGCTTCCAGGTGCCATCCGGGAGCATGTGCGGCACCACCACATCCACCGCTCCCACGAGCCCCGGCCGCTGTGCTCAGTTTTGGCGTTTGCCGCTTTCCGCTGACTCGTGGGCGTTTCATGTCCCACGATGACTCAGCCCCAGTTTATCAGTAATCTTGGTGTTCCGTTCCCCTCAAGTGATGACTCCCCACTAGACCAAGCCAGGGACACCCTTCTATTAAACAAGCTAGAGGGTTTGACAAATCCAGGGCCTGCTTTTGAAGGGAAGCGTTGATTTTGAGCAGTCTCTGAGTATGTTTCAAACTCTTGTTGAGTCTGGCATCAGTCAGTCTCACGCGTCTTTGCAGGCTCCGGGTAGGAGGGCCCAGCCGCTTCAGCGAGAGAAACCCGTTTCAGGCGGCCGGACCCCTTGGCCTACGGGGCCCCACCGGTGTCCAGCATCCTCGCGGAGCTGGCTGGACAGCAGGAGGCGAAGGCGAGGGGGAGGACTCGGCATGCGGAAAAAAAAGGAAAAGGAACAAATGAGAAAATATATAAAAAGAAGAACAAATACAAAATGACAACAAAGAAACACAAAACAAAACAAACACTGAAATCGGTTGGTCCATGTCGGTGAGGCTCAAGCTCCCCACTTCAGCCCGGATGGAAGAAGGGCTTCCTTGGTGTGGTGTTCCACTCTGCGGGCGGGCTAAGCCCAGGTTCTTTGGACGCGACATCTTTGGATGGGCCGCAGTTTGGAGCCCTTTGGAGCTCAGCGGCTTTCCTTTGAAGCTCACGGGGTGCATTTGGGCTATGCGAGATACGAATGGCGCAGACTGGGGTGGGGGCAAAACCGAGCTGGGATACGCCAAGGGTCTTGTAGTTGAACGTGCTCTTGCAGGCTGATCCTAAAAAGGGGTGAAATTCGGGTAATGTTAAGGAGAAGTTCCAGCAGCGCCATGTCCAGCTGCCAGATCGATAGGGCCCCTTTGGGAGCTCGGATTCTGTTTGAGACTACTTTACGTTTCAAGGTCTAAATGGAAACGGACCAGCATCCACGACTTTACTTTCTAGGTCCCCCAGCAGTGCCCTTACACCTTTTTTTTTTTGGGAGGGGAGGGTTCCCCTACTAAAATAGACTGCAGAAAAAAGGGTACCCTTATTCTAACCTCTTTACTGGAGGACTTAGACTGGTTTAAGGAGGGAGTGTGCCGGCCCTTGGAACGCCTCCGCAGGCCTCTACGACGACGCTGGCGCCCAAAAAGCTGCCTCCTGTGAGACAAGATGGCAAGCACCTCGACTCGGCACGGGGGATTTTTCTGCGGATCGGGATCGGGAGCTCACTGATCGGGAGCATCCCTTTCCTCGGGGGTTCTGGAAGGAGGTGTTGGAACTTTTGAAAAACAGCGGCGAGAACTCTGTGATGGATGGATCCTTGCTGCTCAACGCGTAAGGTGCAAATAGCGGCACCCCTCCAGGGGTTGATTTTTCCCGAAAGCTCCTCGAGGCTTGCCTGGAGGTTCGGCGCACTCTTCCAACGGGATAAATTTGACGCAATAGTAAGGTTCCCCGTGATCAACGAGTGGGCCTGCGCCCTCATGTGCGCCAGTCACGGGGAGGACGGCTGCTGCACCTACAAGGCGAGGGGTTTGGGGTGTTGGGCGCCTGCCCCCCTGCAACTCCCCCCCCCCTCGTCCAAAGAACTCGGTTCTCAGCACGAGTCAGACACCGTTCCCTGAGTTGGGAAAGGCAGGGCTGGATAGGAAGGGTTGGGGATCTTGTGACTGAAGGCTCGCAGAAGGGTAAACCAAACTGCCTTGGCTTGGGAGGCTCCGGTGAACTCGTTGAGCTGAGGGTAAAGGGGAACTACGACCCAACCTCCATGCAGACTGCACGCCAACACCACCAATGGGGTGAGCTGGCTTAGGACAACTCCCAGCACGTGGGGGATGAGAACGACGGGGACAACTTTGAAGAGGACCGCCTGCCGCGTTTAGGCATGGAAGTGGCAGGCAAAGGGACGACTACTGCAGGAAAGTTCCCGAATTGTACGCCCACAAAAGCGCGCAGACCTCAAACAGCGCTCGAACACTGCTTTGCGCCCGCAAGTACATTCTGAGTCGCCCAAGCCAAACTTTCCAGTGTTTCTGTGGGTTTGTGCATGGGGCACTGGAACTAAGGCAAGGCTGTTTTCAAGATCCCCCGCCCATTTTGGGGAGGCCACAGTACGCGGCCGTCAATCCGTCCCAGGGAGCTCCGCAGGACACGGGGCTCTGCGAGTTCCGGCCCGGCTTCGCGGGCATCGAGGAGGCCTTGGCCAGTCCCAGCGCGGCCAACGGCTCGCAGCCGGGGGCCTGGACCAGCGCCCAGTGCATCGCCAGCTACGGCACCAGCGGCCCGGCGGAGGTCGTTACCGAGCACAGGGGAAAAACAAAAACCGACGGGGGTGAAGGTGGAGGAAGGATGGCCCCCGAAAAAGTGGCGAGGCGGCTGAAGCCCCTATTTCAAGGGTGTGTTTTCCGATCTTCACCTTGCTGGGTGCCAATTTGAAGGTTTTGGTGGGGTGCGGCTTGAAGGGGACAAATGGGCAGGCTTCCCTTGCAGATCATCAACGCCGTCCTTGTTTCTTGCGTGCCTTCCTGTGAGGCTGCTGAAATCATGAGCTGGCATGTCTTGGCTGCTGCCTTTTTGCCCCACGCCAGCCGCATGAAGGCAAATGCGCCGCCTGGAGACGGGGCAAGTGCGTGGCCAAGGGACAGGAGAGGGGCCAATAGGATGGGCCACGGGTGATCAATGGCATCCAGAAGTTTAAAGGAATCCTACAGAAAGCCCAAAAGGAGTATGTATGTGTCCAAGCCGGATTTAGGATATTTGGTGTAGATGTTTGTTGTTTGTTTTTGCTTTTTTTCCTGGATTCAAGATAGCACGTAGCATGGCACCTCAGGGAAGCTGCTGGACACATTTCCTCGCACTATTAAAAGGACCCTGCGTGTCAGGTTAATACTGCGGGATGGGCAAACCTCACGCAAGGCACCAGTTGGTAAGTGGCCTGTCCCAGCATTCCAGCTAAGCTTTACCCGTCCCAGCTGGCGTCAAGTGGGTTTTGTGCATTCACAGTATAAACGCACACACACGATAATTTTGTTTATGATTTCTCCTGGGGCACCGCCGCCCTTGATTTCTTCAGTTCTTCTGCGGATTCCACCCTTATAACCTCACTGTTTGACGGGCGACGGCTTCCCACTACATAACCAAACAAGTGTTTTAAGTTACCGCGCACCTAGGCTGCCAAATTCATAGGTGGGGCTGGGCTAGGGTGTTTGCTGCTCTTGGTTCCGGCGGGGCACCTAGCGGGAGCCCTGACGCCCCTCTTCACGCAGTTGTGGTGTCCCGGAACCTCAGCCCGAGGGCAAAGAACTTTCAACGGTTTCCTTTGCGCCATGTGGCTGTGGGTCAAAACCAATGGTACCATTTTGGTTGGTAGGTGAATTCACCACCCATTTTAGAACCTATTTTAGTGGGGCTTGGGATGTTCACTGGGGGTACGATTTGGGTTTTGACCCGTGGCCATGTGTTTGAAGCAACACGTGGAAGGGGAAGCCAAGACGCCGTCGGTCAACAATGAGGTTGCCTTGTTGGGAATGAGGCAATGAGGGAATCGAGGCCATTTCGCTGGACAGATTTTCAGACTCTTGATGAGCCGGAGCTCCTTGGTTGGCACCCTGGGGCAGGCAAGCAACTCACG